GTCTTTTATTGGGCGAAGGCGTACTAATTTATCTTTTTCATCAGGTAAAATTGTTGTAGAATCAACAAAATGCAAATATCGCCGAATTTCTTCAAATCGATTTACAGTCATTGCATCAGCAATAAAATTCATGCGTAATCCACCTTCAGATGACCAATATTGACGAATACGGGGATATTTGATATAAGACATCATAATAATAATTCCCAGATAAATCTTTAGTTCCGCTAAAGTCATATTGAAATTAAATTTATCATTTTGATGAGCATAAAGGTTCGTTTGATATACAATATTTTGTAATAATTCATCTGGAAAAAAATATTTCAGATAATCTAAAGGAGTTTTTCCTTGTATGTTGCATTTATGAGTACCGGTGAAGGTGGGCTCATTACCAGATAATGGATTATCTTTAGCAGTCCAAGTTTGTTCTATATTATTAGAACGTGGAGGTACGGGTTTTGTAGCGCGGACGGTCTTCTTCTTGCCTTCTTTTGATAAGTTACTTTTATCAGAAGTAGACCCTTTTTTTCGATTTATACCATTCAATATTGATTCCTCCAGAATGGTTTCAGAAATGCTTTTCACCCGTTCTTCATCACGCTCTTCCCCAGAGCTGGATTCTTCATCCGTACTGGGATAGAAATCGTCTTCTTCATCTCCATTCTCATTTTCCAAAGTCATCCTCTGACTCATCCATTGCTGCAATAAGCTCAGCTTCCGTTAGTGTTAGGCGTCGTGGATTCCTTTTCGGTTTTGTATTGTGTAAGGGTGGAGTCGGCAAGATACTTTTCGTAACTTCGGGAGTAACAGGTGGCGCCATTTGTGAGCTGCAGCCTGGTGCGTCTAATCCTGGAATTACTGTGGATAATTCCACCAACGTCTTCATTTTCGGTGCAAATAAGTTCAGCCAGTTTCAGTATCTCTGATTCAGAAAGCGGTTTTGAACTCATTGCAGATAATTGCTAAAAAAATTTAAATTTTTATACTACTTATACTGCCGTCCAATGGATAAATACCTTATACCTCAATAGAAAAATATAATATAGAAATAAACAATACAATAATATACGTTATAATAGGGCTGTCACAAGTATTCGGTTAACCGGTTTTTATTTTCCGTGGAAACCGCGGTTACACTTTTAATAAAAACCGGTTACTTCGACCGGTTTAAAATCGGTTTTTTCGACCGGTTAAAAACCGTTTTTTTTCGACCGGTTAAAAACCGGTTTTTTCGACCGGTCGAAACCCGTTTTTTTCGACCGATTGAAAACCGTTTTTTTTCGACCGGTTAATACTCGGTTTTTTTAACCGGTTGAAAACCGTCTTTTCGACTAGTGAAAATCAGTTTTCTTGACCGATCCAAGACCGGTCATAGTTTATAATTTTTAAAAGTCGGACTGTGTGATGCGGCCTTTGACGGTAAGCACCGCAGCACAGGCTGTTCGTGAGCGCCGGTTTCTTATTAATATACAAGCCCAGAACATATCATTTGGCCCAGTCACAGAAAAGTCAATATTTTATTTTTTACTTAATTTTGGTAAACACAAAAAAAAATCGATCGAATTCAACTATTATTATTGTAATAGTTGGATTCAATAGATTTTTCTTTCGTGTTTGTTGTCTAAAATTAAGTAAAAAATAAAATATTGACTTTTCTCAGAAACGTTTTCTGTGACTGGGCCAAATGTGTATTTACTAAATACGCATAAATACTATTTATTAAATAGTATGTACTACCTATGAACCATCATAAAACATGAAATATTTTTTGCAACTCTTATAGTATTCGATATATCTTTCTTCAAAAGAAATTCATTCCCATAGTGGTCTTTATACATTTGAGGACAAACTTTATATGCACTAAACGCATATTGTCCACACAAGTGGACAGATACATTTTACAGAAAAATTAATATTAGGATACAAACATAGGCAAAAATGGGTAGTAAACACCATTCAGACGTTATCTAAGACCACAAAAATATTTTTTTCTTACCTGTAACTCGTAAAATCTCGTTAAGACATAGATATTTCCAGAAACTTGTCGGCCACTGGTCAGTGTTTGCTCACATGTTAAATGTTAAATGCAGTTATAAGTGGCGGCCTCTGGGAACATTTTTATTTACTAATACTATCATTTCTTGATATTACCTAAATAGCAGAGTTCTGTATTTTGCTTAAAACTTTAAATAAACTAAAAAAAGTTGGGTCTCATTTGAGGACACCATGCATGAAAGGGTTAGGAAAGGATATTTTACATTGATTTAATTTTCTATAATATTCATCATGACCTGTTAACTTAATTTTACTAGTAAAATAATTAAGACAGCGTTCGCAAATAAATAGTTTACCTTTATGTCTATTATGCTGACTACCTACTAATCTGAATAAATTTTTTATCCAGACATAATGGTACCTAATATCCTCATCATCCTCCCCCTCCTCATTATTAACATCATTAGGATAATTTTTATTTTGAATTAACAATAAATTTATATGTTTATCTAGTTTATTTTTGGTTAGTCTTAATGGAACTGTTTTTAAAAAAGAAGTCTTATCTGTTTTGATAAGCTCCAGCGTGTAAACATTAATAGATATTTCTAAATTTGAAAAATTAAATTTAATATCTTTAATTGACATTGGAAAGTTAATATTTCCAAAATTTAACACATCTCCGTAAGCATTTACCTTGTGTAAAGCTGACATAACAGCCCGAGCGAAACAAGCATTATCATCAAAATTTTTAACATTAACACAGGCATGTTTTTTTGCAATTTCTTCAGGTAGTGTGATGAAGGATGAACCGTTACCCATTTTAAATTTATTAATATTAATTTCTAACGATAAAACTTTTTTTAATGTCCATCCACTATTTTCTTCAGCAAATTCCTCGAGTTTGTTTAAAATTATATCTATAACATTATTTTAAAACCAATTTTTAAAATTTACACTATTATCTACATATATCAATATTTTTTTTATTAAAATACTTTATTTCTTCAATTTCATTATTTTGACTAATTTTTAAAAATTAACCACCAAAAGATGTATTTACTTTTAATAGTGTGGATTTTAAAATATTTTTTATCCTAGATTGAAATAAATAAAATGCGTCATTTAAAAAAGTAAGGGGGTCTAAATGTTTAATGTTAATAATAATACCTGTGCGAACTCGACTTTTAAATGCTGCGACATGTTTTACACATAAATTATTTATAAGTAGTTGATATCGCTTTAACTGACCAATTGATGCTATTAATTTTCTTTTAGTACCTATTGATGTTAATTTTTTTTCATTAAATCTTGTGAGTCTTATATTTTTTTTAATTAAATTTAACCAAACCTTACTAGAATGTGGACAAAAATTTGCACTTAATATCTTAAAGGCACTTAATATCTTAAAGTACTCACATGAGCTATTTCTGCATCCATTTTTTTAAATTGATCTTATTTCAAATACGGGTGAAGGGTTCAGCTTGTTTTTGGTGAATTCCTTTAGCCCTATATATACCAGACCGAATTTCCCAGTGTTCAGCTCTTGTATGTTTTCCCCCACCACCTCCGTCATTCTTTTTGGCAGGAACACCACAAACTCTTCAAACTCCACTAAAGGAATCTCGCCATACTTCCCCTTTACTATTTTAATAGCTTTTATGGGGTATAGGTACCCCACATCAAACTCTTCAGCTTTTTTAATTATTTTTTCTTCAACTGTGGCTACTTCATTGATTTTCTTTAAAAATGACATGCTGAAATTAAAAAATAAAACTAATAAAATTGAATAAAATAAACTATTAACTTTAATAAACTTACCTAATTAGTTATATGAGCACAAAAAAATAATGTTAGAAAAAGATGTCTTTCAATCTGTTGAACTGGTAATGCTAATAGTTGCAAATGCACAGCGTTTTATAGCAATTCCTTAGGTACGTCATATCGAATGTTCTTTAGCAAGGTTAAAAAAGAATAGGATGTTATATGATAAGGCACTTAATATCTTAAAGTACTCACATGAGCTATTTCTGCATCCATTTTTTTAATTGATCTTATTTCAAATACGGGTGAAGGGTTCAGCTTGTTTTTGGTGAATTCCTTTAGCCCTATATATACCAGACCGAATTTCCCAGTGTTCAGCTCTTGTATGTTTTTCCCCACCACCTCCGTCATTTTTTTTGGCAGGAACACCACAAACTCTTCAAACTCCACTAAAGGAATCTCGTCATACTTCCCCTTTACTATTTTAATAGCTTTTATGGGATATAGGTACCCCACATCAAGCTCTTCAGCTTTTTTAATTATTTTTTCTTCAACTGTGGCTACTTCATTGATTTTCTTTAAAAATGACATGCTGAAATTAAAAAATAAAACTGAATAAAATAAACTATTAACTTTAATAAACTTACCTAATTAGTTATATGAGCACAAAAAAATAATTTGTTAGAAATAGATGTCTTTCAATCTGTTGAACTGGTAATGCTAATAGTTGCAAATGCACAGCGTTTTATAGCAATTCCGTAGGTACGTCATATCGAATGTTCTTAAGCAAGGTTAAAAAAGAATAGGATGTTATATGATAAGAACTCAACTTGTAACGACTTGTTATCAACTCCGGAAAACAACATCCAGAGTCTGACACATGTGTGGTTAATAAATTACTTCTAGAAATTTCCATTAAAATAAAATCCTGCGTTATTTCCGTTAATTAAAAATAGAGTGTTTATTTATCACAATGTTTATGCAACGCAGTAAAGCAATGCTAGATAAAAATTGCATATAAAGTTAAATAAATGCATGCAAAATGCATCAGTTTGTTTTAAAATGTCAGAGTTGTCTAAAATTATTAACCGCTATACCCCACCAGCGGACCTGAAGAGGTATTTCCTTGAAAAGTAAGTTTATTTTGCATATTTTTATATATATTTTATTTACCTTTATGTTTTTAGGAATATAACCCCGCCGCCTGCCCTCATCCCCTTAAAGCAGTAAGTTATATTAAATGTTTAATATTCTCCAACTGACCTGAAAAAAGCAACTGTACATGTTAAATGATTGCCTTAATAAAAAAGTACATATTTACCTATAAGAGTCTGGTGTGGCTAGCAACCAGATAACAGCCAATAATTGCTTCTCTGCGTTAATATTTGGCATGCCAACTTCATCCTGCCTAGACATTATTTGAGGCCCCATCACATTAAGTTGATGTTCATAAGCATCGATGGTTATTCGGAAATGTTGTTGGAATTGTTTTGAGGTGAAGCCAGGAACGACTCGTTCTACATATTTTTTATTCTTAAAGGTTTTTTTAATTTCCTTGATCGAAGTATCATTAATGCAATTGATTTTTCATCATCACTAGTACCACCATCATCCTCGCCTTCAGATAATGCTACCGGAATATTTAGTACTAAATGTGTTCCCTTTATTTTTGAAGTAATAATTGTCTTTAATTCTGGAAATTCCATTTTATTAAATTGACAAATGACAACTATTTTTCAGGTCACCCAAACTTGTTCAAAAACTTTGCGTCACTCTAAACACACACTGTGCATAAATCGCATCGCTCTGACGTCACTTCGCTCACCAACAAATTTATTAAATGAACGCACCCCAGCTTTAATCTCTGATCCCCACTTAAATAACAGCTTTTTATTTTAGTTATATATTGTGGCGAAACTTCACTATCAAATCAATTAAAATTTAAATTTCGGTCACATGCGCGACAGCTTTTCTTCGTCGGGAGCGAGGTGGGTAAGTAATTAGGTGGTAAGTATTTTTGTAAATGGGCGCCAGCCAAAAGAAATTCTTTTGACAGAAAATAGGACTGAGGAAAAAAGGATATTTTAGTTTCTTTTTATAACGAAAACAAATTAATTTCAAGTTCAAGGTCAAATTTAATAGACATTAAATAACTTGAAATCATCAAACTAAGTAAATAATTTTATAATGTGATTGTCAACATTTGAAACACATAGATAAATAGAAAATCAAAAATAAATACCTTGGACAATTTTTCTCGGCTTACACAAAAAAAAATAGAATATTCTTACTCTAAGTTGACTTTATCAAATTATCAATATTCCTGCGTGATGTTGAGTGGCCACTCGAACAAGATGTAACAACCCTTGACTATATGAAATTATTAATATTCCTTCGTAATGTCGAGTGGGTTCCAGCCACTCGAACAAGATGTAACAACCCACAATCCAGATTACACAACAGGTCCAGGTAGGTTACACTGCTTGACAAAACTCTAGTGTGGCGTCGCGACGGTGGACAACAGGTACAGGTTCGTATTTATTTCTTTAAAATAATTTTATTTAGCTTTTTTCCAGGTAATCACAATCTATGGCGATAGATTAATGCCAAACGTATAACTGTGCTTCAATAATAGTCAAAAAGCACGAGATATAGGTGCAATACAAAAACGCACACTTTAAGTAGAAGGCCTAAAAGAGATTGATTGCTCAGATTACATAAAATACAAGAAATAACAAAAAATATAGGTTACCTTTGATCTGGTTTGGCCTTAAAGTGGTTTTGGAATTGATTTTATTGATTTTAAACGTATGATGCCCAAATAATTAAAACTTTTACGATAAAATTTTGGTTCTCCCTTTATTATCGTGCCTGGAGCTTCAATTAAAATGGCTCCTTTCATTTCCGGAATCCCTCTCCAAAGCGCCACCCGTCAAGAATTAATTTACAAAAAAATTCAAAATAGGTAATTTAACTAATTTATTTAATTCCATTTTAACACAATTTAACGACTTCTTGTATTTCAGCATCAAAAACAACATCTCATGAATTAAATCATTCAATTACTTTTGGAAAATCATTTAAATTTGAACAAACAGTGAAAATAATGACAACACTCTTTTAGGTTACAAAAATGTACCGCCTGTACCCATTGTTTTACACAACGCATAAGTGAAGGATATGATTATGTTAACTGGGTTGCCTAATTTTTGGCAAATAATTATACAAAATAAATGACTTACTACAGTTTAAATTACTTTTATTAAAACCTCAATTTAAAAAACCGTTACAATATATATATTTTATTGATTTTAAACGTATGATGCCCAAATAATTAAAACTTTTACGATAAAATTTTGGTTCTCCCTTTATTATCGTGCCTGGAGCTTCAATTAAAATGGCTCCTTTCATTTATATATATATATATATATATATATATATATATATATATATATATATATATATATATATTTATGGTAGAACGTAACATAATATAGTAGTATAAATATTATTTTGCTTGTTGATATACAGGGTGTACTCTAGACATTTAACATTTAAGTGTTTGTAGAATTTAACAGTTCAGCTACAAAAATATAACATTTGGTTTTGTTAGATACAGGGTATATTCAGGGTGCTTACGCAATAAATTGTTACGTGTTTAAATCTGGGTAGTGCTTATTTTATTCGTTTCCTTTGCGGTGTTTCCTGATTAGTATTTTTGTTAACATCAAACATTCAGTACTTTAGTAGTACGTTGCCGACCCAATTTGTTGTATGAGGTTTCTTAGTTTGTTATTACCATTACCTTATTGGATCTTAAAAACTAAGTGGCGCCTAGGTATTTTTGATTTTATTTATCCCACCCCTTCTTCACTGTAGCTACAGGGGCTAGGGTCCAATAAGACGCTGAGGGTTTATTATACCTTTAGGGCATCGTGCTACGAGTAGCGAATTTTGCGTCACAAGTGTAACGATACACATTACGACATCTATGAGACGATTTTCCTAACTACCCGACGTCAAGGAAAGAGTTGGACTACCAGACACCTGCAGTTAGACGGAACTCTAACAGATGGCGCTTGGACAGCTGTCAACCGCATATATGTTGTCAACAATTGTTGCACACGGCCCGTGTGAAGGATTTATTGCACACGGCCCCAATTGTTTTTCATCAAGTCTGTCATCAGAATTTCGTCTATAAAACCGCTGCATTTTTCAATGGACAATCAGTCGTCTGGTGGCTCAATTCCAAATGGTGTTACCAATTGTGAGCCCGAAAACCAACCACTAAATCACAGAGAACTCTCAGTGGAATATTAACAGTAAGTTAACCTGTTTTTAATATCACAGGGCTTTAAGCCGTATAATATTAAGCTTTAATAACAGAGTTAATTAAACTGTAAATCCTGTATGCATAAAACATAAACTAACAACATGTATTTTTCCACTAGAGTCCAATTGCAAATCTGCCCTGTCTCTCTGTAGGACTGAAAACCACGCCTTTGCCTGCCAGTTCCCTGTGAAAATCCCTGGAACATTTGCCTGTACTGACTAAAGGCTATGAAAGAACCTTTGTGTTCATGGTCTACGATACTTGTAAATACTGTACTGTATATATAATTGTAATATAATTTTGTACATACTTTTACATTGGTAAATAAACCAGTTTAAGTTTACTTTTGCATTATAAATTAAACCACCAACCCTAACTGATTCTTATAAACCCTACTTTCTCCACTGAATAAAAGCAACCCGAGGTAGGTATTTCTCTATATCTGAAGAGTCAACCGGAGAGGAACCTTGGTGAAGTACTTAAGGCCATAACCAGCCTAGGTACGACACACAAGTGAACTATGTATGCGGTGCCTTAGTAAACAAAGTATACTTTGTTTACTAAGGCACCGCATACATAGTTCACTTGTGACGCAAAATTCGCTACTCGTAGTACGATGCCCTAAGGTATAATATATGCGGAAAGTAACAAAGGTTTTATAATCTCTAATGGGTTCGCATAATTCATGTGTTTCATTGTTAATTTGATAAAAATACATACGTGGGTGGTCTACGTTCTATTATTAAAATTGGATTGATAGATTTAAATTGTGGCAAAATAAAAATATGCGGAAAAGAAAAAGTTTTATAATCTCTAATGTGTTCAGGGCTCGCACGTGGCATAATTCAATGTGTTCTATTATTAATTTCATAAAAATACATCGCGGGTGGGCTGGGATCTATTGCAGAAGAAAAATATGCATAAATGAATTCTAGTATTTTAATCGATACGGTTTTAAGAAATTACGTGCTCAGCTTAATAGCTAGGCTAAATTCACAGGTACCTATTGACTTGTAATACGGTGGGAAAAAAATAAACGTAGACAAGTTAAAAGCTTTAAATTTTATTGACACTTTTTGTTGGAAAAAGAAAAAGCAGACTAAACTAAACTATATAACGTTATTGATTTTCAAAACTTATATCACAAAGGGTGTTTTTTAAATTTGTAGGTATAATAAAATACGTCGGCAAAGAATAATGGTAATTTACTTTACCTCAATGGTATGAAAAGCAATAAAGATAAAATTTCTATATTTTTAAATACTAACAGGTAATTTGAATAAATACAGTTAAAAGTTTACCAGAGAATAGTAAAATAGGTTTAAAAACCGTTGGATACTAATAATTTTTTGATAATTAATTTTTTAAACGATTTAAATTAAATGTACTACATATTATGTAGACCCAATGCATAGATGCCTAACAAGTTAGTAAGCGTCTCTCAGTTTTCATATAAAAAAGAAAACTTGGAACACCAAACCATCAGTCTTACATCGAAATTGATTGTTAAAAGTAAGTGCATTACATACTTGTTAAATATTTGTTTAAATATTTTGTAGTAATTAATTTTTTTTTTCGCTCTCACCCTCTCAAATGTTTCTATTTAATATAAAAAAAATCCTCACCAAATATGGGCGTTCCAGCTCAAGAGGTCGCTGTTTTTATTTTAGTTTCCCATTTAATTAACATGGGAAAAAATAATTTTATGTTTGGAATTTTATACCTCTGTATCAAAGTAACTTATGGCAATGATCATTGCAGTTTCATATATATAAAATGTAACGCTCTACAAAAAAGGTCTCTTATTATTTTTCGATAAATTAATTTCTTCTAGAGATATTCGAGGTCAAAGTTTGATTAACATCAAATTTTCTGTTTTTTTTTAATTTTATGGTACAATTAGCAGCAATTATTATATAATGAAATTAACACATCTTTTTATTATTACATTATTTTTATATATATTTATTATTATATTATATTATATATTATTTATTTTATTTCAGAATACAGAAATAATTGTATCTAAATAAAATCTGTGACTACTCGCAAAATACATTAGCATCTAAACAAACAATACATGAATTGGATTATGAGAAAAATAACCTTTTAAAAGGGGTCCGAATCCCAGTAACGCTATCAAACATTTGTTAGTACATAGTGGGTATGAATCCATATAGTAAT